GGACCCCCGGCTGGTGCACGTGGGGGGCCTGCTGAAGCCCGAGGAGCACCCGCACCACCATGGGCACCACCATGGGCACCCGCATGAGGAGGAGCACGTCCGAGCACCCAGTGGGCACCACCAGGCTGGCCGCTGCCTGCTGTGGGCCTGCAAGGCTTGCAAGAGGAAGACTACTAATGCCGACCGCCGTAAGGCTGCCACTATGAGGGAGCGGCGGCGGCTCAGCAAGGTGAATGAGGCCTTTGAGACCCTCAAGCGCTGCACCTCCACCAACCCCAACCAGCGCCTGCCTAAGGTGGAGATCCTGCGCAATGCCATCCGCTACATCGAGAGCCTGCAGGCGCTGCTGCGGGAGCAGGAGGACGCTTACTACCCAGTGCTGGAGCACTACAGCGGGGAATCAGATGCCTCCAGCCCTCGCTCCAACTGCTCTGATGGCATGGTGAGTGCCCCAGGGACGACAGCCTGCCACCGAGGTGCTCCAGACGCTGTCGGTCCAAACCTGCGCAGGGCGAGTCGCCTCCTCCTGCCTTTCCTATAGCAGCTGTTTTCCGTACCTCCCCAGGCAGAAGACAAAGTCCTTTCTCATGCCTTGAGCTCCAGCAGCAAAGGGAGGGGGGGTCCCCACACGCCAGGATCTCTAGGAAAGAAGAAAAATCTCTTAACACACTTTTTTTCCCCTGGGATGAGAAATTAGGCAGGTCCCCCTGTGTCCTGGGGAAGCTAGGGGAGAGCTTCTGGGGGAGCACTATGGGAAGCTGCCTGGGATGGGTACCTGGCATGGTGAGGTCTGAGCCCTGCCTGTGCTCCTGTACCTCCTGGGGCATCTCTGTTTCCATCTTCTGCTGTATCATTACCTTTGAATCCTCTAAGGACAGCAGAGGGGAAGGTCCCCCTTGGTCATGGTAGTTACAGGGGAACTGATAAGAGTCTGGGTTTTGTTTTCTGCCATTCGTCATGATAACAGGAGGAGAGTCTAAGCAACAGGAGTTGTTTTTCTTGACCCTTAAGAAAAAGGTTTTTCATTTCTCCTCACACTTCATCCCCTCCATAGAGATTTACCAGCAATAGGAAGGAGACCCCAGGCTTCCAGTCCTGTTTGTACGTTACAGGGCGGGGAAAACAAGGGTGGGTGCCAGAGAGGGTGTCTCATCACCACATATTTTCACTGGGACTATAGGCTCTGACTCTGGTCTGACTCTGGGGTGGTGGGATGTGGTGACTGGAGTGCAGGACAGCTGTCTGGGACAGGATCTCGACAGCACTTTAAGACCTGAGATTTTTTTTCTGTGCTGTGGTGGGGATAATCATTACAGAGTTGAGTATCTGCGATTATGAGATAGTGGGCAGATTGGAGAGAATGTCTACACAAATGATCCCTCCTCAAATTACAGCCTTTTTCTTTTGTCCAAAAGAGCAATTTCATTGTGGGTTAAAGTATTGGAAACAAATATATTGGTCAATGTTTTGGGTTTTTTTCCTGTACAAAATGGAAATAGGAAGAGAAAATAAAGGAAATAACAAGGGACAAAGGTAGACTAGAGGCTTTTTAAGAGGAACTCATGTTTGGAAAAACCTTTAAAAATTAAACCAAAAAAAGACTCATTACCCTCTTGGTCTCCCTGTTGTAAATTGAAGATACGTGTAGGGCAGTATCTGATCAGAATGCTGGAAAACCTCATCTCATTTGTAAAAGTACAGCATTCGATACAAGAATAATGGTAATTTTACTTTAGAACAGCCGTGCCACATACAATATTCTGGGGTGAATCGCCTTCTAGACAAGTTAATTTCTGCCTCATTCAAAGAAACTACAACTTGATGGTGTCTCAGCCAGGACTGGAAAGATGGCACAGGCTAGGGGCTGAAATATGAAATTGGAGGGTTACTGGGATTTCAGTAAATGCTGTCCCCAACCAGTGACCTCATTCAGATTGCTCTCCTTTCCAGATGGAGTACAGTGGGCCTCCTTGCAGCTCTCACAGAAGAAACAGCTATGACAGCAGCTACTACACAGAATCACCAAATGGTGAGTATGTGCTGTAACAGCCGTGTGAAACACGGAGACAGAGGCAGTCAATGCAGCAGACTTCCCCGTACTTTCTCTGTCCCCGGTTGTTTAGCTGAGCCCAGTTGGGCTGAAAGAGGAACCTACCTTTTCAGCCAGCGAGCTGTTGATGCTAGTAGAAGCATTGGGTTTCCTCTAGATGTATTTGCAAATATGGGGATATGTTACAGCTGCGTTTCCTATTTTGCAAATACAACATCTGGATAAAAATATATTCTTCTTTTCAACTAATTTTCAGTGTTTAACGATGTTTTGCATGAAGACTTTTCTAACTCTATCATTGATCCAAACGGGAGAAATTGTCGATTGATTTCACATCTTCCCTTCCCTTTCTATGGACTAAAGTGAAGCCCTGGATCTGCCATGCCCCAAAAGTAGCATACTTTGGTTGGGTCTGTCTTCCATTTTGCAAATTACAGTCTCTGTTTTCTGATAATTGGCGTCCTTCACCAATATTCATTTCCTCTGAATCTTTATATGCTCAAAGATGCATACTGTCAGCCACTCAGTGGGGTTTTATGGAAGAACTACGTCCTACTGACATTAAGTACCCATTGGATAAACTGAGCATGTTTTTGTCTGTTTTTTAGACCCAAAGCACGGGAAGAGTTCTGTTGTTTCCAGCCTTGATTGCCTCTCAAGCATTGTAGAGAGGATTTCCACAGATAACTCCACATGTCCTATACTGCCTCCAGTCGAAACTGTTGCTGAAGGGAGTCCCTGTTCCCCCCCAGAAGGAGCAAGTCTGAATGATACTGGAGCCCAAATTCCTTCCCCCACCAACTGCACCCCACTTCCCCAGGATAGCAGCAGCAATCCTATCTACCAAGTGCTATAAAGGCAGGTCAAGCTGGACTGCACTGAAAACAAATTGCTTCCAAATCAGCCGTGCTCCGAGGCTGCCTTCTAGGACTGAAAAGACTTCTTAAGACTTGTTCCAGTTTTAAAATACCACTCAAAATTCCTTCAAATATATAACTTCTCAAATCTGTATTACTTCAAAATACACATAGTTATTTATTTGTTGTTAAACTAAAGCTATTTAATGTGTCTAGAGATAAAATTGTATACCATGAAATGGCCAATGTTTAATCTGGGCTTTGGGGAATAGGAACCTGGATCTTGAATGTGGAGGAGAATAGAAATCTACAACAGTATTGCTCCTGTTCTGGCCAAAATAAGGTTGTGGACCATTTTTTATAAACTTTTTGTATAACTGTAAATAAGAGTTGCTTTGCAAAAAAAAGGGAAAAAAAGAGGAAAAGAAAGAAAAAAAAGAAACAAAAGCAAAAAATAAAACCAAAACAAAATGGAGAAGAAATATTTAATATTGCTTGGTTTGTTGTGTCAACCTTTAACTTTATATATTTATACGATGTGGTTGCCAAGAATGTTTTCAACAGTATTCTAAATAAAGACCCTTATTTATAAAATCTGTGGCGTTATCTTGACTTTCATGAAGGCTTCTAGAATTACTAGTGCATTTAGGAGTGGTATTAAGATCGCTGCCTTGGCAGGAAGAAGATACAGGCTCTGATTCAGCAAAGAAATCAACAACATGCTTCAGTTGCACTACTTTCAACTACTTTGCATAAATATATTGCTGAAAAGTGGTCTACTTTCTTCATATTGTATCTTGCTGATTTCTAAACCAAGTCTTGCACATCAGTTGTCATTATTAAAGAGATCTGTAAGGTAAATAAGCATGTTTCTCTTCCTACCCCTAAAGTTTACAATTGCATTATAGGACTTGATCTTACAAAGATGAGTTAGCACTAGGAATCATAATAAATTAGATTCCAAATTCCAGCGCAGCTACCATAACTTAAAGTCATACAACAGCATCTCACAAGACGAGGTACTACAATCCTGAACAAATGTTGAGATTTTTCAGGTTCTAATTTTCAAGTGTTTGTGCCACATTCATACATTCTCAGGTGTTAGAAAATAATTGCAAAGGATTTTTTGTCATAAAGTTCAAGGTATAGATCACAGTTTTCCTCAAGTTCAGGTTGGAATTTAGGCCAAAGATATAGGCAGTTTTAATTTGGATTTGAACTTTATGCATCTCTGGCAGCGCTACTCCAGGGATTTACTTCTTGTTTAGAGCGTCTCCAAAAATAACCAGTGGGCTATGTTTCATTCAGTATATATGTGTAACCTTGCAAGCTTGCCGGGAAACTGAAAAATGTTAAGCCCTGAGAGGTTGTCATTGGTAAGTAACCATTAGGGCATTTCTGTACATTTCAACAAGAATAACCAGCAGTTACAGCCAATGTAAAACAACCCATTTCTTGTCATATTCCTGTGATTTAGGGATTTTCTTTAAACATCACAGTAAAAAAAAACAACAACAAAAACAACAACAACAACAACAAAAAACAACCAAAAAACAAAGCAAACCCCACCTCAAAAACCAACCCAGATATCGTCATCAGCTCTAAATACTTTGATGACAGATCAGTTGTTGTATTCTCTCTTAGGTGACTATTAAAGAGGGAATTTGTGCAACTCTTACCTCTTAAGTAGGAAGAAGAAAGAGGGAACAGCTAATTCCTTGGGAATGTCTCCCACTCCTTTAGTCATGGGGGCCTTGAAGATCAATGCTCCATGGAGAGAAGAGGAGTGAGCAGCCTTGTGTCCAGCTGAGCAATGCACTTGCTTCTCCTTCCTCCTGAGGCAGAGGCATGCTCTGAGTTCGCTGTCTTACCCAAAGCGAGAGGAGCAGGGAAGGTAGCAGCCACGGGGATTCCTTCCTCATCTGTGCACTTGTCACTATGGTGGACGATAAATCGGCACTGAGTCACAGGACCACTCTGCGGAGCAGGCCATGGTCCCACGGATCAGAGGGCACTCTGGGGCAGGACTGGCCCCTCAATAGCTTCATCCAAGTCCAACTTTGTAAAAGTCTCCCATTGATTTCACTGTGGGCAGAAAACAGTCCAACCTGTAAAGGTTGAGCTTACCCCTTTCATTTTTCCATTAAAACTAAAAATTAAGTGAACTTGAGAATGTGATAATTCTAACTAGCATGAATTGGAAAGGTCTCTACCAAGGTCAGAAAAATGCCCCAGGTTAGTTTGAAGCCAATATCACAAACTTAGAAAAACTAAAGAGAGACAGTTAGAGCCTCACAAGTCAATGCCTCGCACATCAACAATAAAATTTTAATGGCCTCTAGCAAACACTCAATCAGGCCCACAGTGCAAAAGACCAAAAGATGCTTGTGTGACATACTATAGATCTTGCCATCCCTGTACTCTGAGGCTGGTAAAAGTATCAGTTTTACTGTCACGTAAATGGCAACCAAGAACTATTTTGCCAGCTCAGGAACTCCAGGGACTCTATACATACTGGCAGCACAAAGTTCAGGCCTGCCTCGCTACAGCACCCCACTTCTGCAGCACACAATAGGGTGTACCTGGCTGTAAAGCTGGCAGGGCAGAGTGTACATGGGGTGCTTGTGCTCAACAATGTACATGCAGTCCCATGTGAAGTCATGTATATTGCATTTCACTGATTTATTTTAGCAACCCAAGTTTCCACATACTGATGTTAATGTTACAACAGAGAACAAGCATTTAGCACATCCCAAAATAGATGGATGGATGAAGAAGAAAAAAATATTCACAGGTTTCCTATGCAGAGCCAATCTTTTTCCCATTGATGTCAGTGAGAAAAGTCCACTGGAGTAAGACCAAAGGGAGCCAATGCTGATAAATACATGTTTAGGTTACAGCTATATTTATTTTTGAACTTAAACAAGGCAAATGTGCTCCCTGTGCAATTTCTTTCTGTCTATTTCTAAGGTAATACATTTAAAACAAATGCCTGAAGTTACTCTACTCCCCCATGCATGAAGAGGACTGCATGTTACTGGTAGAAGTACATACCAGCCTATGGGCAAATATTCTGAAGCTGGAAATATTTGGATTCAGAGCTTTAGTTTAGTTCTGACAGTGGCTGAGGAACAGATACAAGACTGATCCAACATTTACAAACTTTGGTTCTTAAATTTGGCTCCTGAAGGTGTATTTAGGCATTTAGGGCTGATCCTAC